AGAACAATGCACATTTCTGCCAGCACCTCGAGTTTGGAAGCAGCATGCAAAGAGACGGGTTAGAATCCCCTACCCAGCCGCGCAGCCATCGTCAGCGGCCCAGCATAGCTTCGGCTCCACGCAGCTCGGCGCAGCTCGGGACCAGGACTGCAAGGCGAGAGGCGCAGGGGACGAGGGCGGGCTCGGAACGCCGGCCGGCCGCCCGCGAGGTTTCTGGTCTCTAACGAGCGGGGGACCCCCTCCGGTATCCAGAGCAGCCAGGCTTTATCTTGCAGGGCATCCTCGTTCCCCGCGGCTGCTGAAAAGACTGCGGCGAGCGCGGCAAGGGATTGTGGGATAGGGATGCGGCGGCGAGCGGCGGCGAGGTCGCGCGGCCGGCGGGCTCTGAGTCAGCAGTCAGCGGCGCGGCTCGCTGCGACCCGAGGGACGCCTGGGAAGACGCCGCCGAGCGGAGGGAGGGATGCCCGGCGCCGGCCGCGCGAGAAGAGCGAGCACGCGCCGCAGCCCTGGAGGAGCTCGCATTTGGACGAGCGCGGCGCGCACACCAACTCCCGCTAGTTAAAAAATAGCATGATCCATTCCCTTCGATGTTTCAAGGAGCTTGAAACACAAATGTGCAACTTTTTTAAAAATGCAAAAACCAGACCGGTTCTGCACGCTGCCTCCCACCTATTCCCCGCTCTTGGTATTTACCGAGGAAAAGGTTTATGAATAAAATTCCACAAAGGGAAACAATACAAAAGACTTTTCTCTGCTTTTTGTATCCTAACCACTTAGGAGAATGGCATAGTCATCTGACTCAGAAGATGCCAGACCCTGTTCTGATTCTGAGATGAAGTTTTCAGTTAAAGGTTGATACACACACACACACACACACACACACACACACTGATTTTTTTTTTACCACTTTATTACACATGTTTTCAAAAAGTATTAAAAGCATAAAAATCAATAAATAGCTATAAAAACGTGATTAGTTCCTCATATTACAAACACTTTGGAATAAAAAACTTAAAAAGTCCGGCTTAAATTCATTACCTTTTGTCTATCAACGGAGTCAGGGAATAGTATTGCATCCTATTCATTGGTTAGTTATTACTTTATTTCTTTATTTTTATTTATGGTACCAGCAATTGAACTCAGTACCTTTGGCTTTGCCAGGCAGGCACTTGGGCCTGTTGAACATTATATCCCTGGCCCTAGTTATTAGTTTGAAAGTGATCCCTAATCATTTTTAATGTAAATAATGACAGTATATTTGATCTACACATTTGATTGCATCTGTGTTTGTCAGATCTTCTCCCTGCAGTCAAGCAAAAAGGGAGCCCTGGAAGGGGCCTGGCTTTGGGAAGCAACGAAGGTTACCTTGGGTGGCCACAGAGGAAAGAGGGTGGAGCAGAGGATGCTGGGAAGCCCACAGGCCCTGGAAATGCAGACAAGTTCATCTTGCCATGTCTACTTGGAGGAACAAAGTTCTCAAAAAGTGGAGTTCACACCTCACTATAGTTTGTGGGTTTTATTTTTAATAACAGTTTGAGATATAACTCATGTACTATACAATCCTCCCTCTTAATGTGCACAACTCAATGACTTTCAGTTTACAGATAGGAACCACCATTATCACAGTCAACTTCAGAACGTTTTCATCACCGCACAAGCGAAGGCAAACCGTGTGCTCTGCAGCTGTAACTTCCTTCCTCCACAGTCCCATGCAATCGCTTCTCTGCTGTTAGTCTCCATAGAGTTCTGCTTGTATGGGAGGTTCGCCCCATGGCTAGATTGCCCTAGTCTAGACTGCCACATGAATCAGATGATATCAAATGTGGTCTTACATGCTGGGTATTTCTACTTAACACGTGCCCAAACTTCATCCATGTAAGGGCATGTGTCAGTACTTTATTCCTGCTGTGCAAACATATGGAATGGGCATATACTGCATAGGCATAAGACCTTCCATGTGTCCATTCTCCTCAGCTAATGGACATCTGGGCTACTTCCTGTTGGGGGCTGTGATGAGCAATACTTCTGTGAAGATCTGTGTGCAAGCTTTTGTTCGAACGTATGTTCTGTTTCAGAGGTATACAGTGCAGTTAGGAGCAACTCCTGAGACAACAGGCAGATGACTGCCTCTGCCCAGGTCCTCTTCCTGGGACAGAGCATCCCAGAGGCGTCTGACCTGCAATGCTGAAGATCCTGTGGCTTCTCTTTCTGCTCCTAAGCCTGTTCCAAAGCCACGCTCATGACTCCAACATATCCTTTCCTTTTCCTGTGTGTAACCCAAATTCTTGGCATGTACAGCAGATCGGGTCTCTGTTCTCAGAAAATGGCAGAGAAGTGGGGGAGTCCCTTGATCTTCCCGGCTTACAGTCAGGGAAGCTGCACTTATTCAGTCATGTATTCCCAGGGATGACGCTTATTGAACGTCCAGTGTTGCAAGCCAGAGAGGTCACTGAAGACACACCAAAGAGTTCAGTGTGTCCCGAGCCCTTTAGGAAGGTCACAGCCTTTTGTGGAAGGTGGCTTAGTAAGCGGGCAACTGTAACATGGGGCAGCAAAGTGACTGACAACAACAGGAAGTGGGTGCTATGAGCACCCCCACAGGACTAGGGGAACAACACACAGCATAAGCAGAGGCTTGGGGTACAAGCTGGCAACACTGCAGCCTAGGGTGGGAGAAGAAAAAGAGAGAGCCCTATTTGTTTGCAGTCTTTTACCTGAGCCAGGAATACTTCTTCTGTGGAAACAGCATCACACAGGACAGAGAGGTTCAGATACTCTCAGTACCACAGCTTAATTACTGCATGGATAAAATGGATTTTTGAGGACTCAGCTGGATCCTAGAAAGTATCCTTAACATGGCTTTTTACAGGGAGATGCAGGGCTGGAGGTGTAGCTCCGTGGTAGAGCACTTGCCTAGCATGCATGAATCTCCACATTACAAGAAAAAAAAAAGGTAGCATATGACTTGGCAATGAAGGCCACTGTTTCTAGGCAGAGGCTTGGCTTGCCGCCAGATGTGTTACCAAGCCACAGCGTCTTCCCCTTGGCACTCCCAGGCAACAGGTACAAGGACAGTGGTAGTGTCTGGGTGTGCTTTTTTCTGAATCACAATTGACCTGTATCGATGCCTTCCAGGGCCAGTGTGGGGTTTCACAAGCGGAGAAGAGGGCTAGGGATGCAGTTCAGTGGCAGAGACCACTGCGCACTTTACTGACTCTGTGAGCTGGCTTCCCCTTCTGACTAGTCAAGTGGACATTAGCATGAGCTGATGTCAACCAGCTTGGCTACAATACACACTTGGGAGAGAGAGAGACAGTGTGTAGCCATAAGAAAGCAATTGCCATTGTATTTGGCAGGAGCATTGGAGATAGTGACCCAAAATGTATTGACCATCTATTATTTGGGTTGAATGCCAGGCTCAACCCAAAGCACTTTAAATACAGGCTACATATCCTGGATCAAGGAAATTTGTCCTAGAAATTAGGTTACTTGGGATGGCATACAATGCCACTTACAATCCAGTCCCTGCCTGTCTCGTTTTTCTCCACTGTTCTCCTTCCTAGTCATGCTCGAGTTCAAAAGGCATTTGTTAGCAGTGGTCCCAGCCAGGGAATGGTACCAAACTCGCTATGAGGTGGTGGGGTATGTATATGTGACAGGGCATTTTTGATTGTGATAGTGAGGGGATTAGGTGAGTGGGAGTATTTCTGACATTAGCGCTGGTTACAGGGATACCAAACACTGTCTGGTGCACGGGAGAGTCCCGTACAAGTATATTCATCACCCACTCCATATATCTAGATCTTTTCTTCTCCAAACACTTTCATCTGCTACTTCCTTCCCAACTCAGCAAAGTCACTGCTCATGGTAGGAAGGACTCTGGTTCCTCCTCTAGGGCGCAGGCCTCCCATCTGCTGTCTGGAGAGAAGCTATCCCTGTGCCCGCCGCAGCATGCTTTGCTAACAACTATCGGAGACTCCTTCTTTATCTCTCAATCCTCAGCCCCTAGTGCAATGCTGACACACGATAGGTACCTAGGAAAGAGATAAAGACGACAAAAGACTTCTTACAAAGAAATGAGTGACATAAGACAGAAAGGTAAAAGTTCACCTCAGAATCGCAAAAGAGAGGACCACCTACTATTTAGAGAGTAGAGTAGCACTTTTTCTTATCTGATTGGTGGTTTGTAGTTTAAAAAGTGTCTTCATAACAGATTTTCTTTTTTATCCTCAAAGCAAACCCAGAAAGGCAGAGAAAATATTTTTATTATCTTAATGGGAAATGAGATTTAGAAAGGTTACTGGACCAACTCTGGGTGAAGTAGCCCTTATGTACTGCACCTGAGTAAACTCAAGGCCAACTCCTGTTGCTGGCATGGGTCTTTCTTCAGCGTGCCTTGGTACCCCTCTGGGATGGGTGTGAATGGGGACAGCAATCAGCCTATCCAGTGGGACAAAGCCAGTGGATCAGAGTGGTGATGTGTTTCAGTGAGAAAAAATATAACTAACAAGGAGACTACCTGAACCCAGTGCCTTAGAAATCTTGCTTAATGCAACTGACACCTCATTTTTCTTGCCTTTGCTTTCAAAAAACTTTATGAAAAATATCACCCAATGGTCTTTCGAGAGTGGAAAGGAACACCTTCTTCTAGCAATGTGGAGATGTTGCTGGAAGGGACTTTATAGGTCAGCAGTCCAGGTGCAGCCCATTTCAAAACCCCACTTGTCCAGACTCTTGTGTGATCAGTGTGCTGAGGGATTTGGGGTGAACCCCAGCGACCCTCTGTTCTCTACTGACAATAGTCCTAATAAGGGTCCCCACCTTGGAGGCTTGGGTCATTCTCCAGTAACTATAAGGAGGTCCTTGACCAATCAGAATTATGAGAAAATCACTGTAGATGGTGTCCTTTTGAAGAGGGAAAACCCAAATTGGCCCCAACCTGTTGGGGTTACCTGGAGGGATCAGAGCAGCAAGCCAGCATCTCCAACCTCAGGACTCACCTGGGAACCAGCCTGCTCTTGAGGTCACCATTCGATGGTGTACAATCCCCAGATGAGTACGTGCCAGGCAGTAAAGTGAATGACCGGACGGAACCTCTCCAAGTCACCCCTGGGGACAGAGCTCTCTGCAATCCAACCCACAGTCGTGTTGGCCTCACTCAGGCATCAGGACAGCCCTTTCTGGCCAGGCTGCTTTGTGGCAAAGGGCACCCAGGTCCAATGCTTCCCTCGAGATTGTGTGTTTCCCATAGTGAGCTGCCCCAAACTGAAGACCTGTGTATGCAGGCGGGGTGTGCCGAGCCCTGGGTAGACCAGTCACTGCTGTCCGTGCCGGCCTTCTGTTCGTGACCTCCGGGTTCACTGTTCTTTGCTGGCACCGTCCTCCTGCTGAGGCGTACTGAACAGACACTACAAATCTGAGTCCAGTAACCCTGCCCCACACACAGTTGGTCTGCTCTGATTTATTCTTATGGAATTTAGGATATGTTCTTTCATAGGTGTTCCGAAGCCATCCCGTTAATAATCCTTCTCTGGCATTATGCCTGAAAACGAGCTGCTCAGTCTGTGACTCGCTGCTTTCATGTTCCTCATTTTGTAAATATAAAGTCTATCTTCCCGTCTCCGTGTTTAGGAATCTCTCCCTTCCGATAACACCTAACATCTCAGTCTATAGGAATCCCTCCCTTCCATGGGACACTCCTGCGGGCAGAAGTTTAAGCAAACATCTGGCCTCCTGCGGGTAACTCTCCCCCCCAGGATGGCCTGTTCTTCCACACCATTTTCTTGAGAAAACAGTTACATCACCTGCCTCATCCATGGTGTGCACCAGTGGAGTCCAGCGCTGGCACAGGACCTGGAAGGTGTGTAGGGCTGGCTGAGGAAAGGGGTGCAGATTCCTAGGTCAGGGTGGCCCCACCCACCCTGGCTCCGGTTCTGACTCCTTCCAGTGGGGCTGGGGCACATCTCAAACGCCCGGCATCACGTCTACCGTTCCTTATTCTTTGTCCAGCTCTGACTACCACAGAAGCAAAAAGCAAAAGCAAGCAGACAGAAGGCTGTTTTATTTTGCCATTGTTTGGCCTGGCCAATTCAAAGTGGACTCTATCTCTTTTTGAATCTAATCAGTGGATTTGGGCACAGGGTTGGGCTAGGTCTCGTTTCCCCTACTCCCGCCCCACTCCACCCACCCCTGCTGTGGGCTGGGACCTGGGTCCACCTAGTACGGTGCGGGAGGAGCTGCCCACGGGCGCGAGCGAGGCGACGGCGAGCGGCTGGTAATGTCTGGCTGGGCTGCTCGCTTCCGCTTCCTCGTTGTCCTTCCCCCTCAAACCGACCCGGAGCCGGGAGAGAAGCTTACCACCTCCCTTCCTACTGACAAGCCCGAACCTCAGGCTCTTTGTGTTCTAAGGCAGCAGCCTCGCGCAGCAGCCTTCACCGCGGCCCAGGAGCGGCAGAGCCCGGAGCGCATCCACCGGCCGGTTTCCCTGGCAACAGGCGTCGCTCTGGGCGCAGGCGCGGTGCGCAGAGCAAACCGGCTGGCGGGCCCGATCGCGGCTCCGCGGGTGGGAGGCTCCTTCTTCGAGGTTTGTTTTTCTAACCTGTGTCCCCAGCGGGAGAGCTGTGGCTCCTGGGGAGGAGATGCGGCGGGAGCTGGGCAACCGCGGCCTCCCACGTTCCCCAGCATCCCCTCGAAGTCCTGAGCCGCAATCCGGCCCCGGCGCCGCCCCGGGCCCTGCGCTCCGCTGGGCAGAGTCCCGGGCTGCGGTGCCCTCATTCTCCCCTGTACCAACGCACATACCCAGGATAACGTTTGATTTCTAAATTAAGCACAGGCTCGGGCACCACATGCCATGCCGGCCCCGCCCCCCGGGGCGCGGTGAGAGGGCTGCTGAGACCAGGTGTGGCCGGCACGCCTGTAATCCCAGAGTTTGGGAGGCTGAAAACGGGAGGATCACTACTAGTCTGATCTGTGCAGTGAGACCCTGAGCGAAGGAAAGAAAGAGAGAAAGAAAGAAAGAAAGAAAGAAAGAAAGAAAGAAAGAAAGAAAGAAAGCAAAAATATAGCAGAATATGGTGATGCATGCCTGTTAAACCCAGAACTCTTGCAAATTTCAGACCAGCCTAGGCAATTTAGTGAAACGCTACTTCAAATTTTTTAAAAAATAAAACTTAAAAAATATATATAAAAAATCCAGACTAACACATCAAGCAAAACTATCATTAATAAGAGGTAGCACTCTATGAGAAAGAATACACTAAGAAATACATGT